TCTACTTGTTTTCCACAGTTCTCCAGCCGGTATGGCGAGTGTTTGATTGATGAGGAGAAGCCGAGGGAGTATCGCACTTATTTAGATATCGGCTGCTTTAATTGGCTAGTGAACATCAGGCCGGGCTACCTGACTTTCCGGGTGGGGAATCAGTGTTTTATAGAGCCGTATCTACCTTGCCGATTCGCTCGCCAGTTTGGTTATGACCAGCTTTATGTCGGGAACCCGCGCCAGCAGCTTCGGGCTCATGGAGGTTTGGTGGACGGTCTTCGTGCATGGTTGTGGACCGTGACAGGCTGCACTGGTGCTAGGTTCAGTCTCCCGGGTGCTGAGCGACAGTTGAACCTCACTTTCTTGAGCTGCAGGTGGTTGTTAGCAGCTAATAAGACGGTCCCTGTGAAGCCTATTGAAGAGTTGGTGGCCGAAGAAGCCTCTCAGATTGATTCTCATGTGATCCGGGACGGTGCTCGGTCACAGAGGGCGCGGGGCAAGACCCGCCGACTTGATGCAGAAGGTCACAGGGCCTTTAGTTCTGCTGGAGAGGCCTCAGGCGGAGACCCTGAAGACTACGAGGCAGATTTGGAGCAAGGTTAGTCACCTATCTTTCTTTTTCTCTGCATTTCCAAATTGCTATTCCTGACCACTATTCGATATTTCAGGGACAGCGACCAACAGTGACGACGAATTCCGTCCTTTTACCCGGGCAAGACCTTCGATTGCTGTCCGTGCTGATAGGCGGAAAAGATTAGCCCACAAGCCGCATGCAAATTCACGAGCATCTGAGATGGACTTGGCTGATGAGGATCCTGTTAGTGACGGAGGTAACGTCTATTCTATAGATCATTTTCTTGATCGTTTAGAACTTCTGGCTCATGCTTTCCCATCCTATGCAGGATATCGTGAGGAAGGCGAGATGAGTCCTGATGATTGTGCATCTCCTGGTGAGCCTGACTCACCGCCCCAGGTAGAAAAGCCTGCAGAGACCGCCCATGTTGGGGAGTCTGTCAATGAAGGACCCAGTTCGGTGATTCCAGGTGCGAGTATAAGAGTGATCCATTTCTGCATTTTTGCCGGGATCACGGCATTAGGCGACACTTCACAGTACGTGAGACACCGCAACAGAACGGGGTGGCTGAAAGGTTGAACCGTACCTTGCTGGAGAAGGTGCGATGTATGATGACGCAAAGTGGATTGTCAAGATCCTTTTGGGCCGAAGCGTTGGTTTATGCGAGCCATCTCGTGAATAGGTTGCCGTGCACTGCGATACAGGGGAAGACTCCGTTGGAGCGTTGGTCTGGTTCGGTAGCTAGTGACTATGAGTCGCTTCGGATATTTGGGTGTCCTGCTTATTGCCATGTCAGTGATGGTAAATTGAATCTGAGGGTGAGGAAAGCAGTCTTTGTGGGATTTAGAGATGGAGTTAAAGGCTTCAAGTTATGGGATCCACAGGACAAGAAGATAGTTATTAGCAGGGATGTCACATTTGACGAGGCGTACATGATGAAGCCTCAAGTTTCTCAGCAGGTGGAGGAAGACCAGACAGTTGATATCGCAGCAGGTGGAGGATGATGTGACTCCACCAACTCCAGATAACATTGTATCCATTGAGGCTCCTACAGAGGTGACACTGGGAGGAGATGAGATGACAGCCGGGCATTTAGAGGATACAGTGGATGTTGGGACTCAGGAACATGGTCATGTTCAGGAGTCCATTGCAGCTAATAGACCAAGAAGAAACATTCGTCGGCCAGCTAGATATAACGATGTCATGGTTGCATATGCTTTATCAGCAGAAGTCGTTGATGATTTGGTTCCTTTTACATTCAAGGAAGCAGAGTCAAGCTCTGATTCGAATAGGTGGAGGGAAGCCATGGAGGAAGAGATGCAGTCTCTTCATAAGAACGACACTTGGGAACTTGCAAAGCTACCGAAGGGTAAGAAGGTTATTGGATGCAAGTGGGTGTATGCAAAGAAAGAGGGATCTTCTATTGGGGAAATTAGATTCAAAGCCAGATTGGTTGCCAAGGGATATGCACAGCTAGAGGGCGTTGATTACAACGAGGTATTTTCACCTGTTGTGAAGCATTCGTCGATTCGTATTTTATTGGCATTGGTGGCACAGCTGGATTTGGATTTGGTCAAAATGGATGTGAAAATAGCCTTTCTACATGGAGATTTAGAAGAGGAGATCTACATGACACAACCTATGGGGTTCAAAGCTGCAGGAAAGGAAGAATTGGTATGCAAGCTGAAGAAGTCTCTTTACGGATTGAAGCAATCACCACGACAATGGTACAAGAGATTCGACGGCTTTATGATTGGCCGAGGGTACACTAGGAGCCCATATGACCTGTGTGTTTACATGCACAAGCTACAGAATGGTGAGTATATCTATTTGTTGTTATATGTTGACGATATGCTCATAGCTTCCAGGAATACTTTAGCTATTAGAAAGTTAAAAAAGGAGCTATCATCCGAATTTGAGATGAAGGATATTGGAGAAGCGAATAAGATATTGGGTATGGAGATCGAGAGAGATAGGGTGAAGGGTAGGTTGAAGTTGACACAGAGGAGTTACTTGCAGAAGATGCTTAAGAAATTCAGTTATGATGGTAATACCAAGGCGGTGAGTACTCCATTAGCTCCCCACTTTAAGCTATCAGCTAAGATGTCACCTGTTTCAGTTGAGGACCGGGAATACATGTTCAAAGTTCCATATGCCAATGTTGTGGGTAGCTTGATGTATGCGATAGTGTGTACAAGGTCAGATTTATCATAGGCCGTGAGCATGGTATCGAGATACATGCACGACCCCGGGAAGGATCATTGGGAGGCCGTGAAATAGATTCTACGGTATATTAAAGGTACCGTGGATGTTGGTTTAGTATTCCAGAAGGATGAGAAGAATGGGCATGATTGTATTGGTTACGTGGATTCAGATTATGCTGGAGATCTTGACAAGCGCCGGTCTACTTCAGGTTATGTGTTTACATTGGCAAGTGCACCGGTATGCTGGAGATGCACACTTCAGTCTATAGTGGCTCTCTCCACTACGGAGGCAGAGTATACGGCGTTGACTGAAGCTGTGAAGGGGGCTTTGTGGTTGCAGGGATTATTGGAGAACTTGGGGATTGCACAGGAGACCCTTCGGGTATATTGTGATAGCATATCAGCTATCTATTTGGTGAAAAATCAGGTTTATCATGCACGCATGAAGCATATTGATGTCAGATTCTATTTTGTTCGTGACGTTTTGGATGAAGGAGACGTCATGTTGGAGAAAATCCACACGAAGGACAACCCTGCAGATATGTTGACCAAAGTTATTTCAGGTGTCAAGTTTGGTCATTATTTGGAACTTTTGAACATTCTTCGGTGTTGAGGCCTTTCGAGGCCATTTGGTGAACTACGTCCGGCTTGATTCCTTGGGCAAGAGGATACGTAGGCAGTCTTTACGATGCAGCCGGTTTGGATTAGTTGATGGGGGTGAGATTATTTGGACTATCGTTTGGGTTCTCGACTTGTTGTGGTTTGAGTTCGTACTGGACACAACAAGTTGGGATATTTGGATGCTTTGGTGTCGGCTCAGGTTTGGGGAAACTTCACCGAGGTGGAGAATTGTGAGCGGACGTGTGAGTGGGAGGAACGCGGTTTCAAACCGCATGAAGCACAGGCCCACGAGAAGCCCACGTACCTTAATCACAATGATATATATATATATATATATATCTTCAATCAAGAGCTAGGGTCGTAGCAGAGAGGGCACGGAACTTTTTGTGTGCCTGCGGAACAAAAGCGAGAACCAGAGGCAGGGTACAAGAAAAACAGTGCGGTGGCTGCAGCAAAGAAAAGAAGTCTTAGGGCTTCGTGAAGAGAGGCTTCGTGAAGAGAGTTTTGTGCAGTCTCTTGTGCTGATTTTGAGAGAGATATTTGTGCGAGAGGTTTGAGAGATTGTGTGAGGGTTTAGATTGAGTGATTGTAAACCCTATTTGTATTCTCCCTCTCTTATAGTAGATCTCCCCCCTCCTTGCCCCGTGGACGTAGGCGATTTGCCGAACCACGTAAAATTTGTGTTCTTGCCGTGATTTGTAATAGCTTGTAGGATCTCTCGACAGGTCAGTCCTAGAACTGATGAGAGGAAGTGCCGATATCTCACTTTGTTGAGATATCCGCTTCAGATTCTTGTTTCCTTGGTGATACAAGAATTCTTTCGATCTAATCTCTTGTTGTGCACCTTGCGCACCGGAGGTGCTGCCGAAATTTCCGCTGCGCACAACACAACCAAGTCCACACCACCATGTGTCTTCTCAATTCTTAACTCACAACATGCAATCTTTAGCACTACTTCTAGGCCATTCCTCCTTTCCTCATCTCCGTCTACTCTCCAACACGAACAATTTAGAATAATTTCCAACCGAGGCATTATCTCCATGCACTGATTGCAAGTTGGCAAAACATTAGACCCTTCCTTTCTCGCACGATAAAAGAATTGCCCATGCATCGTTTGACCTCATAGGCTCACACACACAGAAATCTGGGAGATCCTCCCATCCCTGTCGTGGTGGAGATCACTACTACACCTTATTCATAGACAATCACTCACATTTCATATAAATATACATCATGAAAAACAAATTTCATGCCTACGAAATATACCAAGACTCCACCATCATGTTCTGCACTCAATTCTCCATAAAAAGAAAAATCAAAATCTTACGCTTAGACTCAAGGGTAATACACCTCCCGGCGCTTCATTGATCTTCTAATATCTAAGGGCATCCTAGCTCAGTTCTCATGCCCTTGCACATTGAAAGTAAAATTGAAGCTCTTCTGATGCTTCAAATGGAGATCCATTGAGATATTCTAGGTAAAGTTGTAACTAAAACAGTGAAGTATATGTCTGCTGCAAAAAAAAAAAAAAACCCCTAATCCTTGGTATTCCCTATAATAAACTAACCCAATATCCATATATGAATGTGCTAACTCCTTGTTAACTCCAGGTTCATGAAACAGATTTCTTGATCTTGTGCGTTGGACGCTTTAGCGGTGTTCCCAATATCCCAAATTTCCCTGTAAATAAGGGACCTGAAGTGTTCGATGGAAAGGTTATCCACTCCATGGACTATTCCGACATGGGCAGTGCCCGTGCACAGGAGCTGATCAAAGGAAAGCGAGTTACAGTGGTCGGATACCTCAAGTCAGCTATAGATATTGCAGCAGAGTGCTCCAATGTCAATGGTAAAGTGATAAAATTTGTACATTACCACTTTGCGTAGAGTTTGTTTGATATGCAGAAAGTTATAATTGTAACAGAAGTTGTAATTTAAATAAAAATAGCTGCAGATGCAATTGTTTGTTTCACTCTGACTGAGATCATTTCTAGCGTCGAGCACAAAAAGGCGTTATCCATGCAAAAGAGGGTTTTACTATATTTTGATCGTGCATCTGTAAGTTTTCAGGTGTCGAGTATCCATGTACTATGCTATATCGAACCAAACGATGGATAGTACCAGACTACATTGCGTGGGGCATTCCTTTGGCTTTCTTCTATCTCAATCGCTTCTCTGAGCTTCTTTTTCACAAGCCTGGTGAAGGGTTCCTTCTTAGTCTTTTAGCCACTTTGTTGTCACCACTGGTATGTATTTCTATATGAAATTTTAGCCTTGATCTTCAGGTTTCGTAGTCTTAATACAAGGATCCTAATCCCATGACATTAATAACTTTTAGTTATTTGCCTGTTATTGTTATTGATTTGCTCTCTTTAATGCTTGAAGGCATGGGTGTTCTCTAAATTTGCTGAGAGCTATTACAAATGGGCCCTCCCCATGAAAAAGTACGGAATGGTACCAGAGCATAGCTTATCCCATGCTATATCTTCTTGTTTGTTTGCGTTGCTACCGGATAAATTCTATGACAAAATTGAAGAAGGGAGCATTATCCTGCGCAAATCACAGTCCTTTGTTTTTTGTAAGAAAGGTGTGATGATTGATGGAGAAACTTCACCGTTAGAAACAGATATAGTCATTCTTGCAACAGGGTACAAGAGTGATCAGAAGATCAGTGATATCTTTGTTTCGCCATTATTTCAGAAGGTTGTTGCAGGTTCATCAACGACTACTGTTCCACTCTACAGGTCTATAAACACTTTCTTTTTTCTTTTTGTTTATTTATTAAAGAAACTGTACAAACTTCATCAATGATGTAAATGTCTTCATATATGAAATGAATCAATATTGTCATTTTTGTAATTCACAGGGAATGCATCCACCCTAAGATCCCACAACTTGCAATCATCGGATACTCTGAAAGCATCGCAAATCTGTACACATCGGAGCTGAGGTCGAAATGGTTAGCTCATTTTCTAGATGGAGGTTTCCGACTACCAAGCATAAGTAAAATGGAAGAAAATGTGAAGGAGTGGGAGAAATACATGAAGAGATACAACCACCAGTCTTTTAGGAGATCTTGTATCGGAACTACGCACATATGGTACAATGACCAGTTGTGTAGGGATATGGGTTGCGAACCTAGAAGGAAGAAAGGGTTTTTGGCTGATTGGTTCCTTCCTTATGGACCTGAAGATTATGCAGATCTTTGAAGAGTGAATTATGCAAGTGTTCTCTATAGCATAATACTAAAAATCTTTGTGTAATGTGTTCGAAGTCTAAAATGCAATTTTCGGTTGCTTTATCATATACACTATGTACCCCAAATTTTATGTTTCTATGTACCCCAAAACCTATGTTATTTTTAAGTTTCCATAACTCTTATATATGTTTACAAGTTTACTTCCTTATTTACTGGTAAAATACTTAAGTTTTCCTTCGATTTCTTAACTAGACAACATATTTGTGATTTCTCTATATTTTTTTAGTTCTTTTAAAATATGGTTAATTTATCCCCAAATTGCTTAATTAGCATACCAACCACTCTCTCTTTCTATTAAGCTGTATTTAAAAATGCATGCATCCAGGTTCAACTAGAAACAAGAGATTAGAGATGTATTCCTTTTAAGACTAGATATCACAAATAGAATCCTGGTTGAACCAGAGTTATTATTCAACATGGATTCTCGAAAATTCTTGTTCAATTAAGAATCATAAACAGTGTTGACAATTAAAGAAAGAAAGACAAGAATATTTTCTCTTATTAGATCATTAATGCAGAACAAGGCTATTATAAGCCAATACAGAAACTGAAAATCAGCTCACGTTTACACTAACAAATGATACCTAAAAACATGGTTTAATGAGCTAAACTAACTCAGATAAACTTGCTAACTACCTAGACTCATTCAGCTTCCTAAAATGAGGCTAACTGAAATTGATTCAGTCAACTTGAAACAACCTGAAATAACTTGAATTCCAACAGCTTGTGCATGTTTGATCACTTCATTCAACACCTCCCCTTGATCCAAGCTTGCACATGCCTATCTTCTCCATGAAGTGTTGATGCTTGACTGGATTCAGAGCTTTGGTAAACAAGTCAGCATTCTAAAAATCAGTTCCACAAAATTTCAAAGCAATATGTTCTTCAAGTACCAATTTCCTGATGAAATGGTATTGCACATCAATGTGCTTAGTTCTGGCGTGAAATGCAGGATTCTTTGCCATAGCTATAGTAGACTTGTTGTCACACCAGATTTCTAATGCACCCTGTTGCTCACAGCATAGATCCTTTAACAGCTTCTTCAACCACACCAATTGCTTAGCTGCAGCACCCATAGCTATGTACTCAGCTTCAGAAGATGATAGCGCTACTGTATCTTGCTTCTTTGAGCTCCAAGTAATAGCTCCTGATCCTAAGTCAAACACAGATCCTGATGTACTCCTTCTGTCATCAACACAGCCTGCCCAATCACTGTCTGTGTAGCCTCTCACCTTGAAGTCTTTTGCACTTTCATACCAAATACCATAATCCAGAGTTCCTGCCACATACTTTAGGATCCTTTTGGCTGCTCCAAGATGCTGCTTTGTGGGACAATTCATATATCTCAACACAACACTGACTGAATAGGTAATGTCAGGTCTAGTGTGTGTGAGATAATTTAGACCTCCCACCATGCTTCTAAAAACTCTCTCATCTGCACTTTCTGTGCCATCAACCTTTTGCAGTTTCTCATTAGCATTCATAGGTGTTTTTGCTTTCTCACAATTCTCCATGTGAAATCTCTTAAGCAGATCATTTGCATACTTTCTCTGACACAAGAAAGTTCCATTCTTTTCTTGCTTTACTTCCAAACCAAGAAAGTATTGCAAGACTCCCAAATCAGACATTTCAAACTCATTCATCATTGAGTCTTTAAATTCTGATAACATGCTATGTGAAGAGCTAAAATATATGATATCATCAACATAAAGGCAAACAATGATGAAATCATTCATACCTCTTTTCTTCACATACAATGTAGGCTCATTTTCACTTCTGCTAAAGCCTGTTTTGATGAAGAAATCATCAATTCTGCTGTACCACGCCCTTGGAGCCTGTTTTAGCCCATAAAGAGCTTTTCTCAGTCTGTACACCATTTCTTCTTCACCTTTTCTGATGAATCCCTGAGGTTGCTCAACGAATACCTCCTCCTGCAATTCTCCATTGAGAAATGCAGACTTTACATCTAGTTGGAAGACCTGCAATTCCCACTGAGCAGCTAGAGCAAGAGCAATCCTGACTGTCTCAGATCTTGCAACAGGAGAAAAGGTCTCCTCATAATCTATCCCTTCCTGTTGAGCATATCCTTTTGCCACAAGTCGTGCCTTGTACTTTGAGATGCTTCCATCAGAGTTGTACTTAGTTCTGTACACCCATTTCAGTCCTATCAAATTCTTATCTTCGGGCAAACTCACTAGCTCCCATGTGTCATTTTTCTGAATGCACTTAATTTCCTCCTCCATTGCATCTTGCCATTCAGGTTGAGTAATGGCTTCATCAAATCCTACAGGCTCAGTGACTAATAAAGCAAAGTTACAATTTTCATAGATATCAACAAGAGATCTTACACGTAGTGGGCAAAGTTACAATTTTCATAGATATCAACAAGAGATCTTACACGTAGTGGAGGAGATTCATCTGATGATGAAGAGTGAGATGATGGTGAACTCTGACTGCTTGAGGATGTTGATGACACATGAGGTGTTGTTGGAGGAGTTTGCTGTGTTGGCACCACAGCAGGTTCATCAAGTTCTCCAAGTGTAACAAATTTCTGCATCTCTTCTCTTTTCTGACTTGATTCACACCAGCTCCAACTTGCATTTTCATCAAAGATCACATTTCTGCTTATGATGATCTTCTTTGTAACTGGATTGTAGAGCCTGTATGCTTTGGACTCCATTGAGTAGCCAATGAATATGCACTTCTCTGCCTTGTCATCTAGCTTAGTTCTTAAATTCACCAGAGTATAAGCTATGCAGCCGAAAATTCTTAAGTGACTTACAGAGGGCTTTTTTAATCTCCATGCTTCAAATGGAGTTGAGTTGATGACAGCTTTTGTAGGAGACAGGTTGAGTATATATACTGCTGTTGCCACTGCCTCACTCCAGAACTTATTTGGCAAAGATTTGGCCTTTAGCATACATCTTGCCATCTCCACCACAGTCCTGTTCTTTCTCTCTGCTACACCGTTCTGCTCTGGTGTGTAAGGTGCAGTAAGCTCTCTTCTAATGCCATGTTCCTCACAAAAATGCATGAATTCCTGTGACACAAACTCACCACCTCTGTCTGTTCTCAAAGCCTTGACTTGCTTGCCACTTTGTTTCTCCACCAGAGCCTTGAATTTCTTAAAGTTTTCAAAGGACTCTGATTTTGCTTTCTGAAAATACACCCATGACGTTCTACTGTAATCATCTGTGATCAATAGAAAATACTTACTTCCTCCCAAAGATTCTGTTTGCATAGGCCCACACAGATCAGCATGCACCAGTTCCAGCCATTCACAAGCTCTCCATGACTTCCCACTTGGAAAAGATCCTCTTGCTTGTTTTCCATACACACAGCCTTCACAGATGTCTAGATCACCAATTCTAGGCAATCCATTCACAAACGCTTTAGTACTTAAGAGCTTTAAACCATGAACATTTAGATGTCCATACCTGAGATGCCATAACTTGGCACTGTCATCACCTTTCACCACAAGTGCTTGGCCTGCACTTCTTGTCAGATCCCATGGAAAGACTTTATTCTTTCCCATTGCAATTTTCATCAATGCCTCATTGCTTTGCTTTTCCTTGATCACACACATGTCATCTTCAAATACAACTTTGTAGCCGCCACAAACTAGTTGCCCAACACTCAGAAGATTGTGTGCCAGTTTTGGCACATACTGAACATTATGCAGGAGCTTTGATTTTCCTTGCTCAGTTGAAAAAGCAATTGTGCCAAGCCCTTCAACTGTCAATTGCTTTCCATCTCCAATCCTGACAACACTTTTCTTGCTATCATCAAGATTCTGAAACATAGCTCTTGAACTGGTCATGTGATTGGAACACCCACTGTCCACATACCAGACAGTATCTCCTGCTCTATCACAATTATGTTGAGCCAAGAACAAATTCTCTTGCTCAACATAATTTGACTTTTTCTCCTGCTTTCCTTTCTCCTTATCTTCATCTTTCTTCCAACAAGAGGCCTCCTTATACCCTGGTTTGTTGCAGTAGTAGCATTTTATAGGCCCCTTGTAATTTCTTTTGGAAGACTCCTCTCTTCCATCATTGGATTGGCCTCTTCCACGGCCTCTCCCTCTGTAGCCTCCTCTTCCTCTTCCTCTTCCTGAGTTTTGATATGATTTTTCCTTGTTTGAAGACTCTCCTTTGACATGGAAGGCTTTCTCCTCTTTCTTGTCATCACCTTTGGAATGTCTCTCTTCATGAGCTTGAAGAGACCCCATCAATTCATCAAAAGTATAAGTTTCCATGTCTTTGGATTCTTCAATTGCTGTCACCACATGATCAAACTTGTTTGTGAGGCTTCTTAGCACCTTGCTTACAACTTGTTGAGATTTGATTTCTTCTCCATATGACCTCATTTGCTGGACAGTGCTTGACACACGTGAGAGATACTCCTGGACAGTCTCCTTTTCTTTCATCTGAGACGTCTCAAACTCTCTTCTAAGAGACTGCAATCTCACTGCAATCACCTTCTTGTCTCCCAAGTATTCTTGCTTGAGAGTGCTCCAAGCTTCTTTTGCTGTAGAAGCTGCTGCAATTCTTGGGAACACTTCATCATCCAGAGATTGCTGAATGATGTAAAGTGTCTTTGCATCCTTCTTTCTCTTGTCTCTCAATTCTTGATCTGGCTTTACTGGTGCATTATCAGTAAAGCCATCTTCAACAATGCTCCATAACTCCTGTGATCTAAAGAGAGTTTTCATCTTTAGACTCCAAAAGTGATAGTTCACTCCTTTGAACATAGGCAACTGGGTAATCGAGTTCCCATTGCCACCAACACCATTGTTGTTGTTTTGCATTGTTTCTCTCTGTGTTTCCCTTGTGTTTAATCCTCACACGAAACACTCAATCAAACCCAAGAATTCTCTAGGCTCTGATACCAAATGTTGACAATTAAAGAAAGAAAGACAAGAATATTTTCTCTTATTAGATCATTAATGCAGAACAAGGCTATTATAAGCCAATACAGAAACTGAAAATCAGCCCATGTTTACACTAACAAATGATACCTAAAAACATGGCTTAATGAGCTAAACTAACTCAGATAAACTTGCTAACTACCTAGACTCATTCAGCTTCCTAAAATGAAGCTAACTGAAATTGATTCAGTCAACTTGAAACAACCTGAAATAACTTG